AAGTAATCTTTCCAATCCAGGCACAGAAGACATTTCTCAGAGAGAATATGGAAGTATGTGTTGCAGCTTAAATCACGGATTGGCTATTTAGTTAAATTTCCAGGAAAGTAACCCACAAGCTCAAAGTGACAGTGGGTCCTGGAGCATACACAATTTAGAAGATATTACAGACTTGAGCAAAGGGAATTACAAGAGCAACTGAGCCAAGCAGGCGATTTCCAGTGGCAACAATATGGGAGATAAAAAATAGAGATGGGTTTGGAGTCGTTATTTGATGAGTGCACTAAAGCAGGACAGGTGTCTTTGTCCCACAACACATTTGATTTATATGCAGGTAGGGAATAAATAACAAAAACTAAAATAATGAAAAAGCTGAGGACAAGAATCGCTGCAGTGCATAGTGAGCTTGATACAACTTATGGCATGATCTACCTTTTCTAGCCTTGATTACATAGAATCATAGGGTGGTTTGGGTTGGAAGGACATTTAAAGGTCATCTAATCCAACCCCCCTGTCATAGGCAGGGACATTTTTCACTAGATCAGGTTGCTCAAAGCCCCATCCAACCTGGCCTTGAACACTGTCAATGATGGGACATCCACAGCCTCTCTGGGCAATCTGTGCCAGTGCCTCACCACCCCCACTGTAAAAAATTTCTTCCTTATATCCAATCTCAATTTACCCTCTCTCAGTTTAAAACTACTGCCCCTTGTCCTGTCACGACAGGCCCTGGTAAAAAGTCTTTCTTCATCTTTCTTAAAAGCCCCCTTCAGGTACCGGAAGGCTGCTGTAAGGTCTCCCTGCAGCCTTCTCTTCTCCAGGCTGAACAGCCCCAGCTCTCCCAGCCGCCCTTCACAGGAGAGGGGTTCCAGCCCTCGGACTGCTTTCATGGCCCTCCTCTGGACCCGCTCCAACAGAAGAAACAATTCCTCCAAATTTTGGCTGTTTAAAGTGATGTCATTAAAATCTCCTGGACATACTGGAAAATTAGCATATGTTCAATGCTGCCGTACCATGCACCTTTATAATGTCATTAAAAAGTTTCACTGGGCTCATGGCCTTCCATTCGGCCCTATCGTAATACGTATTTTGTACTTCATTTTTTCTGGTTCTCCAAAACTGGATTTTCAAAGTTGGAAGAAAAATACAGTCAGAGAAGAAACTAGGTTAAAAAAGGAAAAGATGAAATATAAAACCAGGAGAAAAGTGAATTCGGGAAAAGAAGGGAAGGAAATTACCAGGTTGGCACCACTGGCAAGCCTCGTAAACTGACTATTCATCCCTTTTCCCCTTCTTTTTCTAAGCTGCCTTGAATAAGGGCAGCAAAATAGAAATCTGACTTGCTAAAGTACATCATGATACTGCATGACTGGGTACTAAGAGGACAAATGAAACTGAATATAAATTTATGCAGAGTAATTCAAGTGCTCGAAAAAATACACCAACTATAGATACACACTGATCGGTTCTGAACTAGATATTACCATTCAGGATAGAGTTCATAGAGTTATAACAGGCAATTTTATGAAAATGCCATCTGATTGTTCAGTCACACTCACAAATAAAAACAGAATAATGCACAACGCTAGAAAGGAAAAGAGAACAAACTAGGAAATTTCATTATGCCAGCTGATAAACCTGTGGTGTGCTCAGATCACGTGCAGTTCTGGTCTCACCATTTTTAAAATGATATAGAACAAAGAGGTACAAAGAGCAACATAGATGATCAAAGGCATTTAAGGACTTCTAAAACAGTTTTCAGCCTGAAAATTATCTTAAGGGCAGATACAGGAAAAGCCTATAAATTCTTAAGCAGAATGAAGAATGAAATTATTTACTTGCCTCTTCCAGTGTTAGGAAATACCAAATGAAACTAGTAGGTGACAGGTTCAAAATAAGCAAAGCTCTTCACACAATCCCTATCACATTGTGGAGCTCTGACACAACATTTTGTCGGCACTCACAGATCCAAATGGGGGTTAAAAAAATCAAAGAAAAATCTATGTATTAAATACAAAGTAATGCTGTGGCTCAGGAAGTCCCTGGACTGCCTACCACTGAATGCTGAGAAAATGTGCACATCCAGTTATCACCAGCATTTTATCTCCTCCATAGAGTTAGGCATCAATCTACCTGTACTAAAACCTCAAATCCCTCCCCGGGAAGGGTAGAGGGGACTTTGAGAAAAAGCGTAGTGAAAGAAAACAACTAATTGCCAAAGAGAACTAAGTGAAATGAAATGGAGTGCTTTAGGGGTCAGAGGATAAACAGTATAAAACTAGGTGACAAAGCGGCAGACAAAGCAGAGCACCTTGGCTGCTAGCCACAGTGAAAGACAATACTGGGCTAGAGAGACATATTATCTGAGCTGGTACGGGCCTTCCTGCGTACCCACATACAGTTAGCCTAAAAAAGAGAGAACATATTTTAGGGTATGACTCAGCAAGCCAACATGCCTCTGTTAGCATAACACTTGAGCATGTGCTCAATATAACCATAAGGTCCGTAGAAGTTAATGATGTTAATGCAAAATATACTTTGCATAAGACAGGCACAGAAATTTTATGTAGAATAGAAAGATAAAATCTGAACTTGCTGAAGGGCCTCTTGAAAAGATTAAATCAGCCGACAGACCAGAGTGTCACAGACCCAAGAGGGTATGACAGAACAGAAAGCTAAAAGGTAGGAATCCATGCTATGCTGATGGCAGAAGACATAGATCTGACACAGAGCAAAATAACTCAGTGGGAAGGCGAGCCCTCTGCTACGGGATGAAGGAATGGACAGGGAAATTTGGGGGCAGCAGGCAAGAATGACGGCGGAGGTAAAAGTCTGTGCCAGAGTCTGTTGGTTACTTTCTCAAGAAACCAGTAAAATGTGAAGACGAGAAAGAAGAAGGTTGGGTAGGCCATGGGAGTTGCAAAATCATGGCAGGTACTGGAAGCAGCTATCTAGAAAAATCCAAACTGTTGGAGACTAGTGCCTTTCACAACAAAATGAGCAATCAGCAAAAACGTTTGAAATTTCTTCTTCTCAAAGAGAACACTTTGAACCATTCTACCATTTATTACAGATGTTGCAAACACTCAAGGTATTCAAGAGTTGATAAATTTTTCTTTTAAAACAAAAAAAAAAATTCAAAAAAAGCTAAAGTCTCCATTCTGAAATCTCATTAACTGTAATTAAAAAAAAAAGTTTACCATTTTGAACTGGAACAAAACTTTAAGTGCTAGATGAATGAAACCTATGTAGTGACCCCAAATTATTTTTCTACTGGATTTTCCAGAATGAATTAAAAAATTCAGTTACATTTTCCATTTTTTCCAATTGCCAAGAAACAAAAAAAAATCTTTAACATGCCAAATCTGCATATCTCAGAGATGCTCTGTCAAAAATATAACTCAAACCACCAAGATCACCTTTTCCCGAACCACACACTCCCATGAAATTGGAAGCATGCCTGAAAAGTCAGAAAATTAAGCCTTTTTTTGGAATAAAAATGATGAAGAGACCATCACAGAAATGCCTTGGGAAATCTCCCTACCATTCTGCGAGGATTTCAGCTTAAGGACTCCTTCAGAACACTGTACAGCTGTGACCATCAGGGAGGCAGATGGAGAACCAGGGAGACAAAAACTGCGCAGCAAGTAATGTGTGTAGCCCCCATCCTTGTTCGCTAGCAATATCCAAAAGCACTTTTCTTCCCACACTACCAGATAAATGAAATGGGTATTATTTAGAAGGGATAACCATATGGTTTGTATAATCTTTATATGCTATTTTCAGTACATTATTATAATGTATGGTAGAGACCTACAAAATAGGATTAAAATTTGCTTTCTGGTTTACAGCCAACCTGTTCCATTTGGGTACAGAGACAGAGGTGAAGGCACTGTAACAGAGTATGTTACTTCCACATGCTGTTCCTACCTTAATACTCATAGAACAACGCAATTGTTTCATGTGGGGCATATTATTGGGGTCCCAAGCTCAAATAAATTTTTAGCAGCCTTGCTGATTGATTATTTGCTAGTAATTATTTGTTTAAATTGTGAAGTCCTGTCTTTTTTTTAATATTCCATTTCATCCTACATGCATTTGTCTGCTTTGTGCCTTCCTAGTGTAGAATGCTGTAGTATGAGGCAGAAAAGACAGGAAAAATGCAAAAATATAAAGAAGATCAACCTAAAAACTGAAATCCATTACCCTTAAACAGTGTCCTTTCTCTCTCCAACTCCTTCGTTTTATCTCGCCCTTTTTTGATACTGAAGTATCAGAATCGAGAATCCATTTTTATTCTAAATTAAGGTATCCACGCTGCTGCAGGAACAATACCGACCAGGGTTTTTGTCTGGATACAGTGTATGCTTTCCAATTTTCACTGTCATTTTTTTAGCATATACAAAACATTGCAGAAGCACATGTAAATCACCACTCTCTTGCCCAGTGGAACAGAATTTCAGTTACCAATGCCAACAGTTGCCTACAGAAGGCATCTACATCTGGTCTGCTACATCCAAGACAGCAACCACAGGCACACGTTTTGCTTTGTTTGGAATTCATCACTGTGGTGCAGCTGAGCCTCAGATAAAAAAACTATGAGCCTCCAGGGTTAAACAGACAAATGTTTTCAGTCACAACAACTTTTTTTGCGAGGAAGCAAAGCCATAACAATGTATGTAAGAGGTTTTATGTAAATCATTAAAGACCTACTGACTTAAATTGTTGCTAACACCAAGTTGCTTAACGTACACTTGAGACTGTGAAGGCAGAACAGATGAATAGCCTCACCAATCTTGTTTGCTCAGTTGGAAAAATGCAAAAATATTTAAAAAAAAAAAGAGCAGAAATCTGATTCCTGCTCATTGCCATTCAAATCTAAAAGTCAAATTAATATTCATCATTTCTGAGTACATGATGGTTTTTACTGGGAGGCAGAAGGGGCAGATACAATCAGTAAACAAATTTACTTTCAAATCCACACAGAACTCCATACCTACCTAGCCACTCGTTGAATTTTTTTACTTCACTAGGAAGTCCCAGCTCAGTAAAATCACCAGCATGTATTAACACATCTCCATATGGCATTTGGATGGGATCAGTTCTTGAGTGAGTATCAGAAATACAGACAAATCGTGTATATCCTGGAGGTTTGGGAGCATCATGGGGTACCGGATCAACCCTGCAGAAAATGCATCATAACAAGGTTATAAAGTACTTATGCACTTCTTAGCATCTACTTTGCAATTCTAATACTATTTTTTACCTTTACAAGAGATTACACAGACTTCTGGATCTGTCTGACGGAAGGGATATATTAAAAGAAACCTAACACTAACGGGAGGTGTAAAAATTTTTGATGTTCACATCACAACATTTTCAGCATTTGTTGGGTAGATGGATTAATTTAAAGAGATTAAGGAAAAGAGATTGAACTATGGCAGTAACTCCAAAACAAATACTTACAAATAAATCAAAGGCATTGCCAGTTGCAAAGGAACAGTACTATCCTGTTTCATTGTTTAAATATGATTATATGGTACACAGGGAATAGATTTATTTTAGATACATAAAAACATTTAAATGCATTTTTTCTAATTATAACTTTTTTCTGCAAGTTATATAATTCCCGCAAATTTAATTCACACATTTTGGAGATATGTTTCAGTGTGCTAATGCAAAGCAAGATAAGAACTTTCCTGACAACAGCTGTAAATGTACCTTCAAGCCTTACTATTGTCAGGACAAATGTGGCAACTTTCTGGGCTTAATTATACTAAATTAAATCAGATGCTGTGAGGGGTGAGTCTGCATTGTTCAGAGCCCAATCTCGATATTCAAAACTGAGGAAACGAAGAGATCTGACCCAGTTTGATGGGACTTACTTATGATGCAGAAGAGGAAAGCAGGGAACACCTCTCTGTTCTATGAGCAATACTTATTTTCAACTCAATCTTTTTACCCTCAATCCATATTTTTGTTAGAATATATAGAAGCAAATGTATCTATATGCAGTTATATCATATCTGCAATTCCAGTTAGGGAATTCTGGTGGAACAAAATCAAAAAACCAGAGATGCAAGAGTTATATTTATGTCACTAGAAACCAGAGAGATATACAGAACTGTTATGAATTATTTTACTTTTACAACACCTATTTTGAAGGGACAAATAAAATTAGGTTTGTTCACTGCTGCAGTATGCAATATATATTCCTATCCCTTGCTGGTTGTGCCTCAATTCAGGAGCTTACTTTTACATAAACAAACCCAAAAACCACTACCTCTGTTTACTAGGTAAATTTTCAGAAGGCATTTTATTGCTTGAAAGACATACGATAATGATCTTTAATCACATAATCTTTTCTCTAAGTCAGAGAAGAACTCTATGAAATTTATAGGTGGGTAAACTGAGGTGTTTTAGACAACTTCACAAGATTAGTGTGAGAGTCGGGAATAAATCTAAAACATTCAAATCTTGTTAAATACAGAAAAAGTTAGCATTTTCTACAATGTAACTACAAAACTAGAATATGAACAAATCATTCTGTGCTCATCCCTCCTATACGTTTGCAGGCAGAAATGCAGAGTTTTGTACAGCAGTACTGGAGAAACAGCCTTTTAGTACAAATACCTTGTAGTCATCTTCCTGAAGTTCCACTTTTTGAGCAGAAAGTAACCAAACATGAGGTGAGGAGTAAAACCAACTGTGATCAAACCATACCTAATGAATACCCAGGCAGTATGTACATGCTAGTGGGATATGTACGCAAGCATGTACTGGAAATTGTAAAGCCTGGCTGACAGAGAGGAATATTTGGACCGTGAAAGACAGCAGCTGCAAATACTGCGTGTAGGGCTGAGGTTGTGTGTATGTTGCGAGAGGACCACAGGCACGCGTAGCAGGGCAGATGGGAAAAAAGAGAGTTAGATGCAGGGGGAGTTAGACATAGGAGTTCACAATCTCAAACAGCGCAGCTGCATGACTGCCACTGCATGTCAAAAATGCCTGTTTTGGAGGGAAGAGAGTTGCCACAGAGTGAGCTCCACGGGTGGCGAGTGGAGGTAGCAGGGGTGCAAAGGAATATGGATGGTGAATGGTGGGGTTTAGACTGGTGAGTGAGGCTTGTCAGAAGGTGCAAGCTGTGTGAACAGTAATGTATTCAGTTCATGGAGTTCCTCTTCAAAATGAATAGCAATGGCTGGATAAAAATGAGGAGGAGCTGACCCTGGCTATTGTTGAAGCTGTTCAAGCTAAACAGATTAAACATCAGTTCAGTAAAGAAATTTCTGATTATTGCTCTCCCTGTCCAGCACTTCCAAAAGTGAGTTACAGGTCATGTTAGTAAGCCAGCTCTAAATTATGCACACTACCCTGGCACAACATAAGAATATGAACTGGTCTAAAATACCACTTTTTGACTCTTCATGGCAGAGTAGTCTTTAAAGCGGGTGCATCTTCTCCATCAGGAATCTTTTAAAGCTCAGCACAGCAGTAAGTTGGGTGCTGGGGAGTAGCATGCATTTCACATGTTGCTCCTCTGAAGCTGAATGCAGAAAATAACAGACTTACCATAGCAACTCATGCAGCACATAATACACATGGGTTTTTTTTATAGTTTGGATGGGGATGGGGAAGATGTGGACAGCATTTTCTTGGTTGCTGAGGTATGTATAACTTTTAAATCCTGTGCAACAGTCCAGAGAATTTTCAAGGGAAAAAGGCATCAATACAAAAAAATAAACGAGCTGCAGATTTTCACACTGAAGCGATATGCACACACTGAGGCCAGATATAGGTAAAAACATATGTCAAGTTTCACAAACGCATCTAAGTTGTATTACTGAAAATAATTTCTGAAAGCTTGATCCCCATATTCTTGTGTAACGCATTCCCACAGCAGCTGTCACACCAACACCCAATGCACCGCTTGCAGCGTGAGCAGAGGAATAACGATCTGCTGATTATTTTTGTGCAAATGCTTTTGTTTTTCTTGAAAGCAGTATGAAAACTTGCAGAGAAACTGAAAAGTAAAGTTGAAAAATCTCAGAGCATGAACACTGCCAGAGGTTTTTTTTATACACCAGATTTCAGTGGTTTCACAAAGGAGCAAGACAGGAACTTCCCAGAAATGACAGCTGGACTTGAAAACACTATCAGAATTTACCACCCTTCTTGTCAGCGGCAACCCAGTCATCTAACAAGCACAGAAATCCCAGACTACGATGGCGCTAGGAAAGGGCTGTCAGCATGTTATGGGTGCTAAAAAGTGAAACAAGAAATATAAACCTGCATGGAGGACCAAGGAAGAGCTGCAAGACTGACTTCAGAAGAAAAGGAGCACAAAACACCCCCTGTGGTTAAAGTAGTTTACTGCGAGTTCAGACGTTAACAGGCCTATGTGAAATCTGTTTACGATTGCCTGCAACATCGCTGATCTGGGTATTCGGAACCATACACAAAGACACGGCAAAGCCCTCACCTCCCTGAAGTTAACGACAAAACTTGCATGGACTAAAGCAGGGCTAAGATTTCACCCATAACAATCATGTGAATAAAGGGTGCTTTTGTTACACTTCTTATGTCTACTTTTCCCTTCTTTGTTACCATTCTATTCATTGGTAGGAGGCAAAAGCAATCCTGCTGGTATTCAGAAACATTATTTACAATTTCTGTACCAAGAGAAAGAGTAGGTCAGATTGTGGTGAACGTTTCAATTGATTTAGCCTGTTTTTCTATTTGCACAAGCTTCTTCAATAGTATTAATCATTCATGAGAGACTGCTAAACTCTTCTGAGGAACTGTTTTCTAGGGATAGCTTATTTTCAACTGCTTGCTCAGATGCTGAACTTCTATCACACAGTTGATTGTCTAAGCCTTCTGGTAATATGATTGGTTAGACAGCATATTGCTGAGTACCAAGTGGATACTAATAAAAAAGTTATTTTCAGCCCAGTAAAAAACATTCAGCTTTTAAGACCAGTGAACAAATTCATGAGTGCCCAGGAACTGTCTGAATATTCACAAAGAATGGCCTCAACAAGCAGAGCAACCTGCATTTGGCATTTTCATTTGTAAAAGTATTTCTGAACTCATATTTGCTTGTTTGTACTTTTGCTACTATTTGCCAGCTCTATCAACAAAAGATGTTTCCCAGTGCTAACACTCATTTTACTATTTGCATTTCAATAGTACCTAGAAACCCCCAACACAGACCATAAGCTAATACACTGCCCCCAAAAACTGAGTGTTTGCTCACTACCCTGATATATACATTAGTCTTCAGATTTTTTTAATATAATATCTAATTTATGCCAAAGTATGTACGTAAGCATTCACTAATAGACACACAGCATTCAGTCAGTCATAATCGCCAAGGTTTTTAACTGCAGAAATCATGGCCTATGTTTGTAAAATATCAAATCATATTACATTCCAAAAATGTGAATGAGGTGATTATTTATTCAATTTTCCTGAAGGAGAAGAAGTTTCCTTTAAAAAAATGAAAATCAGCCTTCTGATCTAAAGATAAGGCTGCTTCTCTAATAAACACAATAAAATGGTGCAGACATTTTTATTCCCTATAAAAATATTTTACAGTAGAATTTTATACTTAATTCATTTGTAATAGCTTTACTGTTTTGCTCTTTCTTCTGGCTTTAAACTTTTTAGCAGGGGTTGTTTTGTAATTTTAATTCTCCACTTTACATTACAAGTAAATCATTTAGAGCAGTTAATTTTACTGATGTTGTCATTATATAAGAACTCAGAAACAAACACATTATTTTAATTACTCTTTAAGCACTTGGCATCTTCGGCACATCGATATGAAAGTAAGTTGTCGGATGGGTGCCCACACTATTTTATTTATTGATGTGGTTTTTCCCTTGTATGTAGCTGTAATATAACTAACCAAACAGTACGTGTTGTACAGATACAGGCTTGGTATTTTTAACAGCTATTTGCATCAATAAGCAAGTGTACAATGCAAACAAACATTATTAACACTGCAGAACATATCATGCTTGTAGCACCTTTTATTTTATTACCACCGCTTGTTTTTTATTTCTCTTTTTAATATGTAAGTATTATGTATTAAAGTTACATTAGCGAAGTGATCTTTCTCCCATCCTTTAACAGAGTACTTACACTTTCCAAACGGACTGATTTTGTATCATTATAGTAATTATTATTAGAAAGGCAGCAAAACAGCATTCCTTTTAAATGTTTTTCTGACTGGTCCATCAAATACCACATCGACAAGGCAATAACAATTCAGAAGGCTGTGCTAGAGCAATAACAAAACTATAATACTTACATTTGCACATGTGGGGGCTGAAAACGTCCCTGGTTAATGTTGTAGAACGTGAAAGCCTGTGTGGGGTTGGAGCTATACTCATCCACTTCAATTATGAGTCTACTGTGCTGATGCCTTCTAGCTGCCATAATGTGCGACTGGGCGAAAGCCATGCTTGCACTTCGTAGTTCGTTTTTTTCAGGCGATCATGTCTGCTATCTTCCTACATCGACGGAAGAAGACCATGACATCTCCTTACCTAATCAGCACACTCCCCTTCGAAAAATCTAAAAGCAGATTGAAGAGATGGAGCATAACTGTTCGACAGTTAACCTGTCTGGAATTTGCTTTATTTAATATGAGATGAAGAGGAAGGGGAGATATGGAGGGATGAAGACACACAGCTCAAGAAACTCGTCACAAACCTTTCCAACTCAGCAATGTGATGAATGTACTTTAGTTGGGGGTGGGAAGCAGGGAGCGGAAGTAAACTTGCTAAAGAATACAGGGGCAACTTGCTCAAATATTTCAGACATTTAATACAAATCTAAAAGACAAGGCAGTCATTCTTCACAATGGCACGGCAAATAATTTTCTTCAACGCGATCATTTACTTTCTTTTTATATTGCATTGCTGAACGTTTGTTCCCCATCCTCCTTCAAAACACCCCCCACCAAACGTGAAATTGAATACGTGGCTGTGCAAGACTAAAATGCAAGTTAACTAAACAAGAACCAGTTAAACCAATTCTTCAGAAAGTCTGCACCACTTATTGCCAGGAAGCATTGCAAGTGGTTGTTCTTTACCTCCTAAGGAACACAGAAAATGGCCTTCTGTGCACTTGCTCCTGGTTTTACAGTATCGCTGAAGGATCTCCTGACAGAGATGAAGGGCTCCCCCCTTCAAACACATTCCCTTCTTAGACAGCACTAGCCCAACATTTTGGATTCACTGGAAAAGAGAGTGACTCAAAGGTTAACACACAGTTAAATGTTATTAAATATTTTAAAAAGTAAAATCCATACAGGTTTTATGTTTGGGAATAAATTTTCCCCTGAAGGTTATGCAAGTCTGGAATGGCAGCACTGAAATTGGGCAGAGGAACAGCAAAGCGAAACCAACTGGAATGCAAAGAGTATCCCCCAGAAACAGCAGAAAGTAATTTAAATGTGAATTTTACTTTTATTTCCCAGTTTTAATAAAAAATGGATTATAAGCTATAAAGGTGGTTATTTTTACAGTATAATTTTGCATTCTTTTTAAAAGTTTTCTGTCTTAAATATTTACTTTCATGCAAGCAAGGGCTCTTTTCTTCTAGGGAATGCAAGTAATCTGCTTCAGAAGATGTATTTCTTGAAAAGCCATGCCAGAATGCAGCAATTCACTTAATACGTGCAGTTTCTGGAAAACAGGACTACAAGTATTTTTTGCGACCTTGCTATGTGCCTTACTTCAATTCTGAAGGGAGGACCACTGCCAAGAGTGATGGATGAGGAAAGTCTTCCCAGTCACTCAAATTTTTAAAGCTATGTACAGGTACTTAGGTCCAATTCAGTTCTAGTGGCAGTCAAGCACCTAAGCATCTTTAAAAATCTGGGCTTCGGTCCTTTGCTTAACTACTTCAGATGTCAAGTGCTCCAAGAAGTGGTGGTGTATTTTTGTTTTGGGAAATCTTGTCCTTAGGAAACTGAAATGAGAGATTCAGCTCAGTTTTGTTACTCGCTGAATGGCTGTAAAATGATGACAACTTGCTGTCACTAACCACCCGCAGGAAAACAGTCTGATAATAAAAAGCAAATTCCTTCACGCCCTCCCCTCGAGTTGAGTGGTAAGGAAATGGCAGAATAACAACAAAGAAAATTTTGGATTTCAAACACTCTCCGATGCCATGTTCAGGCTACGGAACAAGCAGCGGCACAAAGGAATGTGCCAGAGCAAGGGGAGGGAAGGGAGGCATGATCTTTGTAAGAATAATCAAGTACAAATTGCTGCATTTCGAAATAAGAAATTACGATGGCAGATGTGAAGAACCCTCCCTGAGGAGCTTCCTGTATTAAACGATGCATTTGTAAAGAAGTTTGAATAGGCAAGGTCAGAGATTTTATAGGGGGCAAACTGTTCTAAGTGAACCTACTTCTGTTTGAAAGAAACTATTAGAACTGGTGACCTCTAGAAACACTCTCCAGTAAGATTAATAATTTATGATTCCACAGCTCTACATAAAGATTTCAAACTACCTGAAAAACACAGCCTTTGTTTTATAATTCAGGGATTCTGCCCACTTTATACACAACTGAACTGAAGTTACAAAGGCGTTAAGGCACTGCCTTAGGGACCCAGAATCTCCCTTTGGCCTTAGTAAATTCTCAGGAGCTCACAGGAGCTGAGAAAACACCTTCTGTCAGCCTCCTCCTTGGGTCCTGTCTTTTATGACTTCTCTCCAGTTATGTATCAAATCTGCCGCAGGAACAGATGTATGCAGGTACCCCAATATCCACTCTTAAGCTTGGCTTCCTCTTTCTGGGTAAGTGGAAAACAGCACTAACTCAAAAGAACAAATTTGTTTGCAAACAGAAGCAAACGATAGCCAGCACACCACCAGTACACCCTTCAGTGCAGAAGAGTTCTTTTAGGCAGGAAATCAATCCTTGCACATGGGAGGGTGTATGAATCACATCATTCAGCCAGCTTGAGAGGATACTAGCCACAGACAATTCAGCAAGAAGTTCACCATGTAAACATGTAGAAAATGGGAAGACAGCATATTTCACTTGAGGTAAGGGGGGGGAAAGACATGCCACAGCACTGCTAAGCCTTCTGCCAAATGACAGTCACCCAACGTCAACCCTGGACACACAAAAGGCATCCAAAACGGGAGAAGAAAAGAAAGAGCAGGATCCTGCAATAAAAATAACTAGCAATCATATGAAGAGCATGTGCTAAACAAAAATCAGATATGTAACACACATAGTCCATAAGCATAATTCAATAGTGAGCTCATTTCAGAAACATACACAGATGTCTTTGAACCTTACCTTTCAGTCAAGGGTTTTCTTCTGCATAAGTGGTTGGCTGACTAACAGTCTTGCTGCTTGACAGAACAAGCTGTCTCTTCCCAGCCTGACTGATGACCAGACCAACACCCATTACTCCCCTCTTTCTGTTTCCATTTCCAACAGTCCCCCAAATCATAACTTTTTCTTTCTTTTAATATTCTGAAATTTCTTCCTTTCCCAAACCAGAGTACAAAATGCAGCAGGGAAAAAAATATCTGCTTCTATAGCATGCAAGTTTTAAAATTATATGCCCAGTATCACCAACACAGAGCATTAAGACTCAAATCCCCACAGCAACAACATGCTAACCATCCTCTTCCCCCAGACTTATGGAGCTGCGGGATGTCTGCCAGGGAAAAACAGAGAAATGTAAAAAGGACTGCAAGAACATGAATACTAAAATAAACATCACAAACCTGGCTGTTAGAATCACAGACTGAGAAAAAGCTATTAAATCAGCTAAGCCATCTTCTTACTGATGGCAGGAATGTTCTCAATACATTATTTTTCTGCTGCTTTCTCCAGCATGTGCTCACATGTTCACAGAGCCCTGACCCAAAGCCCACTGTGTACAACAGACACTGCTCCAACATCTTCAGCAAGCTTTGCATCAGGCCATGAACTATGTGGACTGCAACGTCTCTCCTGAGGAAATACTGGGCTAGGCAGGTGCTTGAACCCAGATGTATATTTAAGCCCTTAGATGAGGTCCTCAAATAAATCTTTGTATTAAGATTAGTTTTTACTTTTTCAGCCTGAAATTTCTAGCATTTTCACCTCACAGTCTTCTTGTATAGCTGGCATAATTATTTCCCTCTTTCACAGGAATTTTCCAGCCTTTTTATGCCTCCTATTCCTCTTTTTTTCCATTTCAAGCCAATGTTTTATTTTAATCTTACTTCTTCACTCACAGATTCTGCTTAATTCTATGTTCATCCTTCAGTTCACTCTCACGTCCACTGTCTCTCGCCATATCTCATTCCATTGCCCCCACTGTTCCTTCCATCATCTACCCTTTCTTTGCCTCAACCCCGAAAACAACACTAAAACTTCTTGAAAAATATTCCAGCAACACAAAATATGAACCTAGACTTAAAACAACATGGCTCAAGCAGAAACCAAGATAAAATACCGATGATGATGATGACAAAAAAGAAGTTATAAATTGAGAAAACTGTGAAAGAGTTATCTGTTCAACAATGAACTTCAGTATGTTACAAAAAATCTGGAGGTCAAAAAGCACAACACAGCTCTAGCACAACCCGGCAAGAGTTGAATAGGGGCAGTTGGCAGATTTTGCACTAATAACAGTGAGATAACACAAAGAAAGAAAAGGACACTGGGACTCTCGGCAGTACAAAGATCAGTGGGAAACAGGTAGCTACACAGAACATGTTAGCTTTGTTCAGATTCTGACAAGCTGGGATTTGGGGTGGCAATGAAGAAACGAAATGTAGTACCAAAAAAAAAAAAAAAAAAGGTGTTTTCATGCAGCTATAAAACATCAAAGCCGTATTTTTTCAAGGAAAGCCAGTAACACAACAGCAGTAAAATACCTTAAAGAAGCGCATGCGAGTCTGTGATAGACCGCATAGTGACACACTTGCTTCTTGTGCAGACCTTGGATACTGTTAAGCAGAAACCCTTCCAAGAGCTTCATCAAGGATTCAGGTCTTCCCCTATACTGCACTACAGTGCTCTTCATAAACTGTCAGGTCACCCTTGACAAATGGAAGAAGACCCTTTATTTAAACCCAGAAAAGTGCTACAGAGTATTCTGCAGCAATGGTCCCAATTGTCACAGTAACATTCCTATAACCACTAGTGATTGGCTTCATCATCACAAATTACTATTTTTGTTTTAAACCCCCCCCAAAAAGCTTGTTATAGACTGACCAGCAACAAGCAAACATACTGGAACCAGCAAAGCAATCACTTACTATGAGAAATAGGCTGAAAATGCTAATGGTTTTTTGCTGCCTGAAATACCTATTTCAGATACTCCAGATAGAAACCAATCAATGGAATTAGTCTGCTATCTTCAGTTCTGCCATCAGGTAATGAATACTGAAATAATCCTAAAAACGCATTATTCTGTGGGAAAGGATGAGCCAGGCAAATCGCTCTGCAGATGAAAACTTTTCCAAAGGGATACACTCTCCTCCTCCTCATTTTCTGAAACAGAAAGAAGTCATGGCAAACCAAAACCACCAAGTCTCCCCTTAGCAGAC